CACACTTTCGGTACCTGTACGGGTCCCAAAAGACCCTAAATCAGACCCAGGTGCCCTTTTCGGGCCAATATCGGAATTCTGGCACAGTGGCTCCCGCCATGATCTGGCGTCAGCGCTGTCGCCCACGGCGGCGATCCACCTCGGGTTGGCCATTTTCGGCCCGTTTTTTGGCCCAAACTTGCATTGGTTCCTGCGATAAAACAACCATAGGGCCCTCAGTGGGCCAAAAAATCACGAAAAATCGAGACTTACCGATGGTGGAGCTCTCGGGTGCGGCGGCTTCTCCGGCGCGAGTCGCGATTTGATGTTTTGCTCCAGTCAACCTGTAGAGAAAAGGACGGTGATCACAGTGGTGTAAAAATTGCATCGAACGGGAAGCAGGAAGGGCCTCATCGGAGGCACAAACCGAGGGAAGCCGCGACGGCGCCGCTGGACTTCGGTAGTGTTTTCCAGCTAATTGGCCGGTGGTTTGGCTCCGATTTGGCCATAGACAAATTCAGCATCGAAAAATGAGCTAAGGGGAGAAAATTTACCTCGTTTGGCGGTCAGAAAATCCTCCGATGCGGCGGCGGGTGGGGGCGGCCGGCTCCTCCGGTGACTGGTTCTTCTTCTCCAGCGAGGGTACTGGCGGCTAGGGTTTGGGGTTGGATGTGGATGAGGTTATTTATAACCTTCCCCTTTTAATCTCAGCCGTCCATCACAATTTAATCTGGGCCGTCCGATCGCGATTAAAATAGGAATAAATTTGGGCTGTCCATCGCGATGCCATTTGGGCCGTCTGTACGCGTGAGATCTGGACCGTCCGTGCGTGTGAGATCTGGGTCGTCCGTACTCGTGAGATTTGGAACGTTCGATCGCAGGCACGCGGATCGCCCACGTGGGTCTGTCCCGCATGGTCTCCCGCGTCAGCGTCCTTGCCATGCGGCGTGTTCTGGTTGGCCGGGGCTGCTGACTGGGCTGCTGACGTGGCTGCTGACATGGCACAACTTTTTTAAATTGCGTTTTGACCCCTGATTTTTGATTTTCTTTTCAAAAACACCTCCAGAATCTAAATTTTTACCCTTTTTTTTCCAAAATCAATTTCAATTAAATCCCAAAAATAATTTTACTCTATTTTATTATTATTATTATTTTTATTTTTATTAAATTAAATTAAATTAAATTAAAACCTTATAAATTAAATATTAAAATAGAATAAAATTAAACAAAAATTATAATAAAAAAGTAAAATAAATTAAATAATAAAAATACAACTTTTTGGGTGTTACAATTGTATTTTAATTCAAATGAATTTTTATGCTCTGATACAACAAACACAGAGCGCAAAATAACACAATAAATAAGAAAACTTTCAATGATTTTCTATTGCTCTGAATATTTATAGGATTTTACTAATGTATTTATACACAAGCTGGAAGGTTCTAAAAAAGAGAAAAAGGGTACTAAAAGGAAAACAAACGTTTCTCTTAATCTGTTACAATAGAATGAAAAAATTGGGTACAAAATAATACCAGCTGTACTAATTAACTAAGTTACAGTAGAGAATGAGCTAAGAGCAAATGGTTGCATGAGAGAAATTGTAATCTTCTATAGTTATGACCCCCAACTTATATGTAAAGAAGTGTTCTTATTTGTAATCTCATCTTTAAAAAATAAAAATTGAGAGAAAAGTTAGAGAAAAAAATCTTTTCTTTTTCTCAACTTAAAATTTTCTATATATCAAGTTAAAATATTAAAACCGCAAAGCCTATATAATGATAGTCTTTATGAATCTAAATATATTTATACTCTAATATTTCTCTTAAGAATATGGTATAAAATATCTTTTTTTAATAATAATTTTAATTCTTAAAGTTTAATAGTCCAAAAGTATTTCAAAACTAAATACTTTTACTCGTTGTCCTTTTTGGTTGGACTTGTCAAGTCATATAATATTGTCCCTTATTCATATGATATAGGACATGAGGTAGATTCTCATCTTATGCTTTTAACAACTATAGTTAAAGCTACTAAACAATGGTGGTCTTATGATAAAAGATCGTTTGAAGAAAAGCTCCGTTGAAGATTAAAAGAAGATGCTAATGTCATTGATTTCTAGATTGTTAGACCTGTAATTTAAAAAAATTATAAATTCATTTTGATACTATTTTATAACACAATTAGTGAGCACCTATAAAGAATGAATAAATTATGAAAGATATAAGTATATTACTTTGAAAATTCACGATGATAAATCAAAATGTGAATATTTTTTTTTTAAGAATGAAGTTCTGATTTTATTGAATTTTTTTTAAAAAAATATTCTTATACCATGGTATGAATACCTGACTATAATAACTTAAGTAGAATTTTGATTAAAAAATACAATAATTAGAAACATCAATTTTTTAATTATTAATTATCAAACTTAAATTTTATTATTATTAAAATATTATATTTTTACGAGAAAAACTTAAGATGAGAGATACTTAACAGTAAATTTGAAATGTCTTCTAAATATTAATTTCCATTTCTTATGATAACATATTTTAGTGAATTAAAGAATTGGTAAAATTTTAATTTTATTCCTTGAGAGTACCAAGATTTTATTGAAAATGCTCTAATTTGTTCATCATCGTCAAAAAAAAAAAAAAGTATATCATTTAATCAAGCTTAATCCCCATTTAAAAAAAAAAAAATTGCCAACATGACAAGGTAAAAGAGTGAATAAATATAGAAGCTTCTATATTTCCATATATGCCTTCTAACATTTTAACTAATGCTTCAAGCTCAAATGAATTTTTCACATCCCAAACCTAGACTACAAAATGTTGAAAATTGCTGCCTATAATTAATCTCTTTCAGCACCAAAAATAAAATCGACTCTCATCCATTTGATTTATAGTTATTGTTTGGAGAGGATATGATAGAGAACTAATAGAGTGAGTTATAGTAATTCCACAACTATTAAAAAATATGTTAGACATGCTCAATTGGTTAAAAAATTTAAATTAAATCGTACTACTTTTAAATTTAAAGATATTTTTCGTAATAATTTAAGAGGATGGTTTACTTTTGGGCATGTTTTTTTTGCTCTACTCCTCTTCTTCGGAAACATTTTGTATGATATTAGAACTCTGTTCAGATATATTTTTTTTAGTATTGATCCAAGTTTAGATACTTTCGTAAAATTTCATTAGTAGATTATTAAATCTATGATGAAGACAGCTGTATTTTTAAAAAATATTTGGGATTATTTTTTATTATCATCAACGGCATTGTTTATAAATTTTCAAATTATTTAAAGAAATATACATTTAAAATTACTTAAGTTAAATAAATTTTTATTTAAAAGATAAGAAAATATGTTTAGACATAATCATCACACAAAAAATTCATTATATTTTAGAAAATTTAACAAAAATTATATTAATTATAAATATTTTATAATTTATTTAATTATGTGTATTGTTATTTTAAGTTAATTTAATAAAATAACTAAGTAAATGTTTTTAGAGAAAAGAAAATTAGTTATTTATTTTTTACCACCTTAAAATCAATTTTTGGAATCCAATAATCATGTTGTTTTCAAAGTTACTAAATAATTTTTTAAAAAAAAATCTATAAAAATAAATGAAATTCAAACACTCTCAATAATGCATAAGCATCACAAATTGGGGGAAATATTTAGGGTTTATATCGGCTGAGAAACAACTAGAATATGATTCCGAGAGGGGTGCCTCTGTGTAGAAATTATGTTCTGACTTCTAATTGTGTAGAAATTAAAGATTAAAAAATATAAACAAAAAAAAAAGTCTATATAATGTTAATTATTTAATGTGAAATACCAAAACCAAATGACAATGACTAAATTAAGCTGTCAACTAACACACACACAAAGGAAAATCATCCACAATAGAAGAATTATTACTCACAAATGGTGTTAATAACCCTGAAACAGAAAAGCTCACTCTTAAATTCATCAAACCCTAGACATTACGGTTTTAAGTCTCCTCTTCAGGACACAGAAGTTATATCCCTTCAACTGTTTCTTTACAGAGCCTCAATATCAACACCTTTCAGCTAGAGAAAGGACTCAATTTGACTCAAGCAGCCCTTGGGGCCTTCAAATATACTTGAAAAAAACCCAGTTAAACTGTATTCATGTATGAAAATTGAAAATCATTAAGAAATGTCAACGGGATTGTGGGCCTCAATATCTACATGCTGGATACCAGGAACAAGCTCTTGAATCTCTTTTTCAAGCCGGTCAACTTCACTTCCTAAAGCGGTAACTACTTCCTCGCCTGCATAAGAAACTCAAGTTTTTAACCCCGATCAAGCCATTTAAAAATTAAGCACCCACATATTTAGTCTGATGATAGGTGCATCTCTCAATTTGGCTATAGACATAAGTTCAGTCCCGTTATCCCATATTATTTCCTACCAAGTTCTTTTCATTTTTCAAAAAGAGAAAAGATGTACGAACTCAGCAAGCTACATGTGAACAAGTGCTTAGTCTCACCATAGTTTGACATGATCTTGAGCAATGCAGAATCATCTTCCTCCTTGGCAGCCTCACGAAACTGCATGTCATTAATTTCAGCAGGTTAGGCATGCTTCCTATTACAGAGTATAGATTTGTGTGACAGAAAGTTCTCATTGTTTGATTGATAACGTCACCCCGCACTTGTATATACAAGGATACATTGCAACATATAAGCATATCAGAGGCACCAACAAAATCAACAGAGGATCCTAGATCAATAAATACAATGATTTTTGCCTTCCACTTTGTAAAAAGTAATATAAGACCCTTCATTATCAGCAGTGGAGAAATTTCAGAGTGCACATTCTATAACAGAAAAAGCTAACTAGTAGAACAATAGCACTTACAGGAAGGAAGAAGCTAATGCTTAATATGATTTACCTGTCTAGCCCACTCCTGACGTCCAGTCCTGCTCAGGTAATTTTGCACTACCACAACTCCATTGAAATCTGTTGTACACAACTAATCACCATCAAGAATAGATTTCTAAAATTATGAAAAAAAATACAGAAAATTAGCTTAAGATGCACAGCTTCAAGGATCACACTTCATATTAAAACTGAAAAAGAATTATTAGACTTGTACGGGATTTTCCCCTTTGCTGATGTATAGCTCAACGTGCACCTCAAACAAACACCACTATGTCTTAACCAGTTTGCCACAAGACCTGTCATACTATAGATCAGTAACCAAAGAGGTCTACTAACATTGGAAAAGGAAAGGTTAGACAACCTAGTCGTACAACTAGATATAATCACTGAGATGTTTAGTAACATTAGCCACACACCTGCAACACGAAACCCTTCTTTTTTTTCTTTATTATTACTTTTACACATTATTCTCAATTTTTTTAGTGCACTTCAAAATATTATTTAAAAGAAAAATAGTTTTTTTATTTTCTTCTATACCCTCTATGGTAATTTTACACCCTATAACCAAGAGCATCTGCAAGTTATAACCTCAAAAGAATACCAAGTTTAATTGTAAACATTATAGAACTGCATAATCCAAGGCACTATTGTGGAAGGCAGACAGAGCTTGAATTTTGTGCTTGTGCTCGTGGCCAATGAACTAGAGGATGCTGTTAAGAGGAAGAAGAAACCTGGTGTGTGTAAGTAAGCTGAGCCTACAAAAGGCCTATAATCGTGTTGTTTGAGAGTTGGGACTTCTTGAACTATCTTTCAAAGATGATGGGTCTAGGAGCAAATGGTGCATTTTGTCCACCTCCTTTGTTGTTCTTATCAATGGAAGTCTAACAAGTTCCTTCAAAGCTTCAATAGCCGGAGACAAGGAGACCTATTTCTCCTTTCTTGTTTATCGTTGTGATGGAAGCTTTTAAGAAGACGATCATTCATGCTAGAGAGATAAACCTTTTTCCAGGGTCTCTTGGTGGGAATAGTAATCAAGACAAATCCTATCACATCTCTTAATTGCTCACAACTCTCTTCTTTCCGGCAGATATATTAGATCATCCTTTCTACACATTAGAAGCCCTTTCTTCTGCTTCCAAGATATCTCCAGCCTTCAGATCAACCTTGAAAAATCTACGCTAGTTCTTATTTGCAATGGCATTCAGACATGAGAATTCACCGAAATCCAAGCTTGTCAAGTAGCTTCTTTCCCCATCAATTATTTGGGGATTCCCTTGGGGCCTAGAAGAGAAACGAGAGGATTTGGGACTGCACAATCAGCAGCATGGAAAGATTGACAGGTCTTCAGAGGAGGTACTTGTCGAAGGATTTGAGATTGAACCTGATAAGAAGCATTCATTCTAATATCCGCATCTACTACATGTCTTAATTTCCCATGCACTGCAATGTTGCAAAAAGACACATGCAGATTTTGTCTTGGTTCCTTTGGGGTGCCCCAGGGGAGAAGAAAATTTCCCATTTAGTCAAGTGGGATGCCACTATATATCCATTCTCCGAGGGTGGTTTAGATATATGATTCTTGGTCACATTCAGCAAGGCCTTTCAAGTTAAATGGCTGTGGATGTTCCTTATTAGTAACGGGGCCCTATTGTGAAATACTATCAAGGCCAGATCCAATCTTGTGGAGGGGAGTTAGATGAGAGTAGAGAGATGATTTTGGAGGCTCAAGGATATAGCCTTCAGCAAGGTATCAGAGAATGAGCAAGTATTCCTAATCCTGTTCATCTAAATATCAACACTGCACAGAGGTTAGGGTTTTCGGAAGGGTGTTTTATATGGTGATGCTCCATTGAAAGCTTATTTTTCAAAAATCTTTCATCTGGCTTGGATAAACGAGAAATTGAGAAGGACTATTACATCGACTAAGGGGGACTACGTCATGGCATATTACACTTGGTAGGAAAGTAAATGAATGGGAGATAGATGAACATGTGAATCTTCACGCTTCCCTCGAGAAAAGTCTCTGTAAATCAGAACAATGAGGGATACCCCTCTTTTGGAGCCTTTCCAAAAAATTGAAAATTTTAAATCAAATAGCTCTTTTTTGTTGGTAAACGGCTTTAGAGTGCATCCTTGCTATAGGGTAATATAAGGAAAAAGCGGATGC